GATTTCATTAGCCGAAGCCATTGTAATGTAAGTTATCACGATTTCCGAACGTATATTTCGAAAGCTCAAAATTCAAGTCACGCTTTTGAAAATAAGCCCGACTAGATGTTGTTAAACGTTTGAGTGTGTTCACAGCTACTCTCAACCAATCAGATTACAGATATTCCCACTATAGATTTTACTACTTGGTCGGGCTGAATTTTCAGAGCCCGACTAGATGTTGCGAAACAGCGCATTTGACTTTGCTCAGTTGCAGTCAACCACTCAGATTGCAGATAATCCCACTATAGATTTTACTATTTGGTCGGGCTGAATTTTCAGAGCCCGACAAAACTGCGTAATGCCTGGCACTAGAAATGCACTAGTCATTGTTGCTAAGTAACGTTTAAAAATATGATAATTTTACTAATAACGACGCAATTTGACAAATTTTACACTAATAGACTGTGGATTATTCCAAAAAGAGTCGCAGAATTTAAAATTTTCGCAAATCCAATTTTAAAGAAAACAAATTTTTCATTTTTGGGAAAATATTTGGGCCCAGCCCGACCAGCCAGACCGCTAGCTACGCCACTGGTAACCATATCATTGCTGTTCTGTTTAAGATGAATTATGAGAACAAAAAGGGTTACATATTTTTCCAGTATAAACAAGCATGCCTAAATGCAGTAATGTTTGAACAAAAAGAGAATTACAACTTAATAAGTTTTGTTTTGACTATTAGCAAACATAAAAAAATAATGGAAACAACTGAAGTTAATTGGGTTTTATATAAAGAAAGAAAAAATTTGACCATAAAAAAACAGACGATCGACAGACAATGACAAGTGAAAGAGTTTGCTCTTTACATAATGAAATGAAGAGAAAGTGCCATAATCCTCAATTCTTTCCATATGGAACTAAAAATGGCGAAATGCATAATAGCATTATTAAATAGGCCACAGATTCGTAGATGGTAAAAAGTCAAGAAACTCGGGTGCAGGAAATTGAAAATATTTTTCTAGGGCTATGCCAAATGACATTAATCAAATTAATGACATTAAGGTAAACACACGAGGGCAAACTAAAAATTTGAACTGGAGGAAATAATGGCTCGTTCAAAATACTGCTTCAAAATTTTACACTGTCATCATGTCTTCAACTTAAAGTTAATTGAGAGGGAGCATAGTCTGCTATGCCATGCTGATGTGTCATGAAATTAAAATATTTTTCGTATGATCTCGGAAGCACCTGATTAAATATGCATTTTAAATAAATGCAACACAATTTTTGTAATGTTAACTTGCATTAAGTAAATTGCTTTAACTGTTGTCTCTATGATATATTAAATGATTTTGTAGATGAAGAAGACACCTTCAGAAACCTATGCATAATAATGTATCATTTTATATGATGACTTTAAAAAACTTGATGACGGAATAGCAAGTCAAATTTTTTAAACTCATTTGTTGTGTCCATAAACTACACAAATCTGTAAAAATACTACCACCATTAATTTATATTCGATAAAAACTAGTTGTTCTTTAATAAAAACCACTTTGAATAACTGTAAAAACAAAATATTTTTGCACAAAAATTAGAGTGCACTTACCCCACTTTATTCTTGACGTCATCTGATTCTGCTTGCATTCTACAGCTTCCATTCTACAGCTTCCACCATATTATCAGCTTGTGCGTTAATTTTATCAAGTGATGTTGTTGTTAGAATTTGTAGTTGTACCTGATTTCGGGGTGGATTTTCAGTTTTGAGTTTGAGCCAAGGACTACTTTGCCATTAATACAATTTGTCTTTGTACTTTTGAATAACCACGAGGGATTCTGAATCGGATAACTCAAGCTTGTCTGAATCTTAATCATGTATAGTACAAGATGTAGCTTAGCAAGGATATTTTTCGAAGGAAATCTAGTCATTCCAATATCTGCTTGTCCATTAATGCATCAACAAGCAATCATGATAGATCTAGATAGAGATTAAAAAGACAAGTCTTTTGAAAATCGTTTCCATGTCACATAAATTGCATTTTCACAGTTCCATACCATTGGAGTCTGAAGTCAAATTGCCAGAGGCTGGTAAAACAGAACAAGACACACGTTGTGCTTTGTAAATTTTAAGCTAAATCTTGTTAGAGTAAACTAAAATAACCCAAAAAGAACAACTTACTCAACTAGTGACTACAATGTCAATACGAGCATCGAAAGTCTGATGAAATGAACACTTTTTTGGGAGACTTGCAGTCCAGACAAGAAATTAAAATAGCCAAAGCTCTTCTCCTGTTTACAATGAACATTACTACAATGTACGATACAAATTTTACTTAATGTTAAAGGAAGGAAATATTTGAAAATAAGTAATTAATGCAAAATGTTAATCTTGGTAAACTATTTTTAATGAAAACATTTTAGTTTGCGCATTGCCATACGAGTAATTAGAAAAAAATGTTGATCTAACAAGCATGGATCTTTTAAAATAATGTTACAGAAAGATATTGTTTTGGATGCAGTTTCTTAATGATGAAATTAAATAATAAAGAATTTGGATGTAATTCATGACATCTTTCTAAAGTTAATAATAATGATAAACTATTCTCAAATGGAGCCTATGTCTTAGTCTATAGAGTCCGATGATCGATGTGCATTTGTAGAATTCGGCGTTGTACAAATTACAGCAACAGTATGACCACGAGCTCTCTTCAAAGATGGCATTGGTCGCCAGATTTTCTCATTTAGGTTGTAAGATTTGACCGATCTGGTTGGTCCTTTACGACCCAAACCTCCCATAACAATGATCTCATCTCCGTTTGCAACTGCTGCGCATCCTCGTCTGGCGTTATTAAGGCGAGGTAACGAAGTATACAGATTCGTTTTCATGTCAAATTCAATGACTTCATGCGACAAACCGTTCTCATTTTCACCACCAATAAGCATGATCTAAAATATTACCAGAAATATAATTCGCAACAATTTAATAGCATATTATAATAATAATTAACAGGTGTGAAACTAGAGCACCAATTGGGGAAGATGGTAAAGATTCATATATTCAACTCTACCTTGCTGATTTCTTTCCAAATTAAAATCACTAACAAGCAAAATCAGTCGGGTGAAATTGAAAATATGAATATTCACACCCACCCAATTAGTGTTCTACTTTTTTATATCATTAAGTTACTGGCCGTAAAAGGCAATGGCAGCACAGCACTACGAGAAATTGTTTAATGAACTTACTGCTGGTCAGTAAGTTTTACTTTGATATTGTTATAAAATTCTTAAAACAAATTTAACCAGAGTCCATTGAAATAAAGTGTGATAAACGCCCTTCAGTGTTTATTATAGTTCATTTATGGCAAAAAATTTACTAAATTTTAATAACAGATTGAAATTTCTGAAGCGTTGGAACACGAAAGTGATTAGCTGAGCAAAAAGTTACTCGTTCCAGTAATTTCAGGCGATAGGTCACTTTGCACCGTAGATTTTGCTCAGTTTTACGGCTCACGTAACTTTCTCTCATATCAAGCATGTTTTATATTTATTGCGACGCTGGCAAAAATCGCACTGTTTACGTTGAATGTGAGCAAGATGCATGCTCACATATGACCAACTAAAGAACTAATAGCAAGATTTAATTGTTATTCCAAGATTTGGTAATCTAGCTTTGTAATTACTGTTCACGACACATGTGGCATACTGAGGACATTTCTTTTCTTTACATGGATCTAGAAAAAAGATTGGCGAATAAAAATCAAACACTACAGTTCAAAGTCATGCTACCTCACATCTGTTCGACCATGCTGAAATGAAAGACTTACTGCATTTGCCTTCGTGAAGAACTTTTATGTTCCTTTTTCTTGTGCAAGATTTCCTTCTTAGTTGACACTCGTTGTTATAGGTTCTTTCATCATCACCACAAATATATTTTGTTGTTGGAAGACATTTTGGACATTTACATCTAGCTTTGTAATTACTGTTCACGACACATGTTATTTTAACAAGTGGGCGAACTGTTATTTTATCAAGTGAGCAACAGCAAAATGTTTGCAACAACCGACGTTACCAACTGCACCCTCGCTATTACCCATATACAAAACAATTATGATGTGATGAAAATAAAGTGTGATTTCAAAAGCACCAAATATTTTCATTAAACGATTTTTGTACTTGTCTGCTTTAATTGCTTTACGATTTTTACATAGCCAATTAGTCTTTTGTCTTAATTTTTAAAGTTTAACAATCGTATATCAAACAGACAAGAATAGTTTGAATATAAGCGGATGAGTATGTTATAGACTGTACTAGCAATGATTGCTTTTTACAAACGATTAGATTTTTGCCTGACAGACCGAAAAATATTAAACATGCTTGATCGGCAAGAGCAACTTGCATAATCCGTAGAGAAAAGAAAAAAAAAATTTGAAAGGAGCTTGTATAGTATAAAAGTTTGAGCTTCCTTTACCACAACAAGAATGTGCTCTTCGTCCGCAAATGCTTAAAAGAACTTTTAAAACTTTTTAATTTCAAAATCTGCGGGATTCACCTTTCCTGGTAGCTTCCTAGGTATGCCTTAAAGGCTAAAAGTTTTATTAAGGGTTAAGCTTCTATTACTTACGGTGGCCCATCGTAAAATATAAAGCAAAAATGTAAAACTTACTTTGCTTTCACAGCGAACAGTGCCCATACGTCGTAATGGACGCGGCAATTTCGAGATGATCTTACAATATTTTTTGACAAGATCTAATAGTACCACTTCATCATAAGTTATATTTTTATCTTTCCCACCAAAAATAAAAACCTTTTCAGACCAATTAGCTTATCGGAAATATCGCGCACACCCTTATCGATCATGTTTGGTAGAAACAAATATTTTCGACAAGAAATATTCTTATATGTGTGGCACTGTGTGAGTCTGTGAGAAAGACCCTGAATTCTGACCGCAGTGACAAATTATGGCAAATTGCAATTAGAAGATCAATTTGTAATCGACAGTAAAACAATATACAATCAGATTCACTTTCGTACAATGCCAGTCCTTATCTTTATTAATTTGAAACTTATATAAAACGATATGCTTTGACTATGTAGATGTAACAAGGCTCAAAGCAGCATGGGGAAATGACGTACAGAATTTAGCTGTCTAAAAATGTACTTTAAATGCTGGTGCCACGCCTGCCATCGGCAATGGCAGCGACGTCAATTGTTTACGTCGCGAAAATACTTAATACAATACAGCACACGAAGTCAAAAATTTGTCACCAGCCATGGAATTACAAGAGCGAGGAATGTCTACGGCAGTTAATTAAAAGGGAATGCCAAGCATTTACAAAGTAATAAGCAAGTTTAATACCTTGAAGCATACTTCTGTATTCAGTGTCTGTAATTGCATAAACGTGTGGTGGCACTTCGTGTCGTTTTTTTCCCTTGTACATTTCCACCACATTATCGGTATAGATAGGCAGCCGTTTGTAAGGGTTAACGACCACACAAAACAAACCGGAGTAGGTCTAAAACGATAAAAACATACAACAATTTTAGGATTATGGCAGCACTTTGATATTCGGTTATTTGATGACATGAGTCACTTCCGGTTGGAAATTTTTGTTTGCCATGTCGCGAAAATTTGTATTGTTGCTGTTTAAAGAATGTTTTAAATTCGTTGAATAACAAAGTAACCTACATAGATTAATTCTGAATAATAACGATCCTTCAGATTGTGTAAAACGCTTGCTTCGTTGAGGCAAGTTAGTTCGGCCATGTCTTCGACCTTCTCGAATTTTGGTGGATTCATTTTCTGGATGTCATCCTTGCTAAACGTCTTTCGTTTGCCACCTGATAATTCAACAGTTATTTCATCGTTTTTCTCTTGTTTTACGCTTCCAGGGATAAATCCGTGTTCTTCGTCGGGCACCCAAACAAGTTTCTTCGCGCTCCATTCCGCTTGCAAAGTGGGGTCGCCAACACTTCGCCTGTCCACCGCTAAATATTTCATTTCGTTATCCATCTTCACAGGATTTTAGTAAGCCAAGCACCTCTTCTTGCTACGTTGTGCAAATATAGGTTTTCTTCTCAAAGCAGACTAACAATATACCCAAATTTAACTCAACTCAAAGTTGAATGTAGATAAACACAGCTTCTCTTCAATTGAGAATGTTGCTGCATTCTGTTCTCGCTTCGTATTGGTTACTTAGGCATAGATCATGTGACAAACACTCTCGACGTCATGCATAAAATTATTTCAAGGTGTGGCGAAGTGTGGCGTAGCATACGTCCGCTATGAACGCTACAACGTAAGTAAATCCGGGGGAAATCAATCGAACGGCAAAGAATTAATTTCAACCACAGCAAATAATATTAATAGCGCAGATATATATAGTAAAGCGTAAAAATTGAATTAAAAACTAAAAAATGCGTCTTAAAACAAACAATTAATGAGTCAAAGTGGAGCAGCCAATGATAAATAATCAAGTACTTCAAACTTCCTGAATTGTCATACACCATCATCTCCGTTGGTCCTCCTCCATAAGAGGTGCATAGCATGCTTTTGAAATTTGAGTTCATTGTTGTTTACAAACTGATATTTTCATTACACACCATACAAGCTACAATGCATACATACTGTGCAAACTATACACACTATATTATATACGTACCACTGATATTTAAAAATTTGTGTGCCACAATTTTCGCCCACTTTTAATGCCACTTTTATCATTATCACACTATATTATGTACGTACTACTGATATTTAAAAATTTGTGTGGCACAATTTTCGCCCACTTTTAATGTTGCTCTACTACCAGCGTGAAGCAAGGAGAGACTGATGGCATGCCTATATATCGAATAGAATTTAACGTCACATTATTTATCTATTGGAGACAGAACGTTTATTAGAGTGAGGCTTGTGATACAATTTCACGCACATAGGGGTAACTGCAATTAGGCTATTCACGACATACATGTACAGTAGTACAATATTAACAAGAACTACATTGAAGATCATGTTACATGTTTACAGTAGACATAACTAGATGGTTCTTACATCATATAAAGTTTCAGTTGGGTTCATGTAAACAGCTTCTTAGTTAATTCAGATGATGTTTCTTCAATGATTAAGCAATTTCCTTTAGCATAGTGACCTTAGTTAAGACATCATGTTTTAGTTGCGATGATTTTATTTTTATACTGACTCAAAGCTCATCATCTAATCATGCTATTAGGCTTGGATTGGCTCCAAATTAGGGGCCTTGCCATTTTAACTTTTGGAGAGGCCTAAAAACTATCCCCACAAAAATTGAAAATTAGATTTCAGAGTCTCTAAAATTTCTAACATTTTAATAGATTGAGCACGGGAATATTGTTAGACTTTTGTAGATAAAAAAGATCCCGCTTATTAGAGAACTGAGAAGGACTGCTGGCGATGTTGACTGACGTACGTTTGGACAACCTTAGCCCATAATCATCTTCAAAAATATCTTTAAAAGAGAAAGAGTTGCATTTTTGATGATATTTCTGATGGTCCACAGCAATAATATTCAAAGACAGAATTCTTACTCTCTTATGAAAAATTAGTTATTTTTGAAATATTCCAGACTCCCTTTAACACTTGGCAAGTTTTTCTACATAACAAATTTGAACACAGTCAGTTTTGTGTGACTGACATACATAGCTACTAGTTGAAGTTGCTCATGTGTACAAACTTAGTACACAAATACAAAAGAAAAATTAAAGCGGCCAAAAAGTATTGGTACACTCCGTATAAAGTAACCATTTTATTATAAATTAGTCAGAAGAAATGTTTACTCTATACGGAGTGTCAATTGTTTTGTGGTTTACTAAAATATAAAACAGTGTCATGGCAAAAATTTTTTGCTCACTTTTTATTCTTGCTGGATGACCGCTTGTAGTCGTTCATTGTAGTTCTTAGCTAACAAGCTTCATTCAGTGTGGTTTTCACCTATCACCAAAATCAATGCTATTCACTGGCCTGGATATCACTGACACTATCTGTTTTAGTTTTCTTTCAAAATATTCTTTTAGTCTTCCTTTTTATTATTCTCTTAACCTTGACAAGCTGTCCAGCTCTCCATAGCACGATACTAACACACGTAACCATCACCATGTTTTACAGTGGGAATGGTGCAGTTTTGGGAATGGACAAGTTTCAATTTTTCAGTTACCAAACTATTAGCGCTGCTTACGTGGTTGTCTTGCATCATTGCACAACATGGATTGAATTTAATGACTGAACAAACAGGTCAGTACCCACGAGGGCTAAAAAATTTGGCCATGGTACGTTTTCATATTTGCAAACTAGTTTTCTAAACACGAAAAATTTTAGATGATATGCAGTATCATCATATTGCTTATTCACAATATATTCTTCCATGTTTATTTTTAACCATGATGCCAATTCATGGATGTGCTATTCTAAGTAATTATCCCGGTAAGCATGCCAGTCATTCGCCAACTCTGGCGTGTCCGCATACTGGTTGAAAGTCTGATATAATCATCCATTACTCTCAAATTACTTTACAGCTACAGCTTGTAACTTGTCAAACTGGTCGGAGACATTATTTTTTCCATATTTAAGGTATTTGCATAAAATCTTACCAGGTGTTTATATAAGTCTCGTCAGTAGGGTTTTCTTCATCACTCCATGCGTTATTCTGAGACTTTCCCCAGGGTTTGTACCTCAAAAACTTGGTACATTTGGAATAAAGTCAAAGTTTTGACCTTTTGTATTTGAAAATATGTTGCAAATATTTTTTGTAGAACATTTTCAGGCAGCTTTGTAAGTTGGTCTTTTGCTACTTTGTGAGTGCAGCAAATTTTACGAAGCTTATAGTCAATAATTGGGAACTATCATGCTCATGACGATTGGCATATACGTCAAGAAGTGTATGATCGGTGCATGATTCACCTTCTTCAACATTTTCACGTACTCTACGTGAACCATTTATACTTACAGGAATCACATTAAATGATAAACTGTAAAAACTACTCATAACTTCATGGGTATACCCTTCAACTTCCTGTTGCTGCTGCTCACCAGCAAGTAAAAACTACTCATACCTGAAGAGTCATTGTAAACAATATCCTCACAAGGATTATCAGAACGAGGACATATATCGGGTGAAAAGGTAAACTCAGAAGCAATATCATCTTCTCTCTCCACAGTCATAAGCTCTGGTGGTACACCATTTGCAGGCAGCAAACTTAATGCATGCATTAATTAATTTTTCAGATTAATCTGGGTTATTATTATTCAACCAAACTTAAGCATTGTGCACATTTTGTTTTCTCATTATCACATCATTGAATGTGTTATTATTGACAATAAACAACCAAATCTTTAGGATTTCTGGTAAAAAATTTTGCCAGCTCTATAAGATTTTGTGCAAGTTTGATCAATACAATGCCGTGAATAACGTCGTTGACCACTTGCATGGCTTAATATGAACTCTTATAATTGGCAATGCCCGAAAATCAATCAGCATTTTCTCAACTCGCATTAAGTTTTCCAGTTCATCTGGGACAGATGCAGCAATCATGGAGTTTTCAAATGAAAACTTTCAAAGATGTTTCCTGTCTTAAGAGCAACCTAGAACCACATAAGTAGATGTTGGTTTAGATTTAAGGGGCTATGCCTCATAACAAATTGTACAGTGACTGACATTGTATTGCACAGATTTATAAAACTTGTCCATATTAGCTTTAGCCCAAGGTTGCTCTTTTATACCATAACAGTTTCAAAATTAATCTAATAATCTTGTTGATATATTTTCTTCGGAGATTGTGAAACTATTGTTGCCCTCTTTTGTTTTTTAGACTGTCTATATTTCTCAAGTCTTGCTTGCCGCTCAATATCAATTTTAACTGACCTCTTTTGTCTTTTAGACTGTTTATCATAGTTAGTATGGATTGTCGTTCAAAGTCAGTTTCAACTGACCTCTTCTGTCTTTTAGAGAGTCTATTTTTTTCAAGTCTATTCCGTTAGCAGATTCAGTTTCCTCCGACCGATTTCTTTTTATGGACTCAATCACTTTTCGAAGTCTGGATGAGAATCAAACAAATATAAACAGTTTTATTGTTTTATTATAGCCATCAAATATAGCCTTCTAATATAAACATAGCATAGCTATGCTTCATGAATGTTTTAAACCTGCGGAAACTTTATGCACTATGATATCCGTTGGCTTCCATCCCTAGAGATGAATAACACGTATTCTTCATTTGAGTGTATTGATTATCTTGCACACCAATATTTTACCATAGGCATCGAAAGGGGGAGGACTGGGAGGGGCTTTAGCCCCAATAATTTGAAATGGTTGGAGCGGGGAAAGCCCCAAAAGGATAATAATTGGCCAATTTGATGCGTATGCATTGCATGGAAGCTCCAAGGCTATTTTTGTTTTTGAGTGGGTTATATTTGAGTAATGGTTTAAAGTTAACCATAGAAAAAATAATGTCATGATTATGGTTTGTAACTAGGTTTTTAGTTTGATTTGCAATTAGAGAAATATAGTGGAGAAAGAGTATGAGTATCCTCCCACTACAATTTAAGCCAGCAAATCATGATGTCATTTAATTTATGCAGAGATTCACTGGGTCATTTAATTTATAACTCCATGGCATTGACAAGTAGGGCAAGGGAATGAGCTTGGAGGTAATGCTTTCTCCTAATAAGGAAATGAGAGTAGAAAGTAGGAAAGGGGTCAACACTTGTTTGATTATCTATGTAACCTCAAATCCCAACTCATTTAATCCATAATTTGTTCACCAAACTATTTGGTTTTATTAAAGTTTTGGCAGTTCAGAAAAATTTCTAAAGTGGCTACTAAGCGTACTTTGACACTTTTGATTTGAGTATTTACTTGCGTGTCCATGTGCTTTGTTGTGTCATTGAAAGTATTTTTACTTAATTAAAATACTATTGCAATTTAGGCCGTATTCTTTGCCACCGAAAGTCGCTTAGAAAAACAATTCCGTTGCCATCGGTCGGGCACTAAGTTTAATTTAAATAAATCTATAAATTTTCATTTGCTGAATAAGAATTTACTTGTTGTCACGCGTATAAACCTGCAGTTTATGAGCATTTTGCCATCAAACATCAACAATTTTTGCTGCTTTGAAACTTGATCGCCGCCATTGTTTCCTTGAGTACT